GGATCCCCGCCTGTTTCACTCATTCAAGACTACAGTCTAATTTTTTGTTTTCTGTCTTGATTATTTTTTTAAATGCTCAAATGCAATGGTTCTCAACACTCAAATACAGTTCCTCATGTTGCAGTGACCCTCAGCCATAAAATTACTTTTGTTGCTACTTCATAACTGTGATTTTTGCTACTGTCTTATTTACAACCACCTAGGAAATTCCCTCCAAAGTGACTGCTTTCTCACAGTGTCTGTTCATGATTCCTCATGTCTACCAATTGATACGAGAAGTATTCTTTTCTCAGTTTGGTTTCATCACACCTGGGTATGAATGACACTAGCGACCATATGGTTGTCCCAAGTAAAGTCGATCTGGACAGAGCAAGGCAGAAAGTTGGTGTAGGGGAGATCTGAGTCTCAGATGGAGCCGCACAGCTGCTCAGTTAACCAGCAGCTTTGTAGCAAACCTCTAACTTGGGAATTTTAACCATTTAAATGTTGAACACATATCATGTGAATTATAGCTATGACCAAAAGAAAGACCATTCCAGCTTCGCACAGCTCATTGGAGAACAGTAAACAAGTAACTAAATTATATTATTTTTTTGTGTAGTGATAGGTAAAGCGAGGAAAGGGCCACAAATCCTACTTTAAGTAAGATGGTTAAAGATGGCTTCTCTGAGAAAATAACATATGCTTAGAAATGAAGGAGACGTAAGAGAGTACAGGCTCAAGGATTGTGTCTGGAGCACACAAGCCTTCAAGGTAAGACGCTAAACAGGAACCAGCAGCAAAAACTCAGTTCCAGAAAGAACAGAGGGAAATGGAGTGAACAAAAATAAACACAACTCTTTCAAGGAACTACTGTAATGGAAAGTGAGGAGCGTACCTGGAGGTGGAAATAGCATCAGGAGAGAATTTCTTCCTTTGATGCTGTTTGCTTGCTTGCTTACTTAATACAGAAGCGTGTGTGTTGAGCATCGGGGTAGAAGGTAAGCAATGGCCTTAAATCCTCTCCTTCTTGTATAGTCTTTTACATGATGGCTCAATAGCTTTTCCTGGAGGTGGCTTGGCTTTGTGAGTGCCTCTGGTTTTAAAATGCAGAAGAAGTGATAGTGAGATGTAAGAATGTACCTTCAGAGCTCTTATGCTAGCCTGAGGTCACCATGTAACGAAATTCTAAATTGTCTGATTCAGTACCCACAAAGAGTTACTTACGTTGAGGCACCCCACACATACCAACACAGAAATGAGGACCCTTCAAAAAGTAGAAGGAAGATCTAGAAACAAAATAATCTGTTTTTCCACTGGAGGGATGAGGTTTAATAGTGTTTTGGGTGGCCCGGGATGTCCACCCATGTTGGATTGGTCAACTTAAATGAAAAAGGGAGCTGATAGGCTGTCAGCTGCCGGTACACATGTTCATGAATGGCTTTTTCATATATGACCAGTCTGGACCAGTCAACCAGAAAGAAGTCCCTACTGGCCTTTGTCTCAGCTTAGAAGTGTAGAGAGCCAGAAATTTGCCATATTTATTATCTGTCTGTGAGTTCATTCCTTATCTATTTGCCTGTCAAGGATCTTTCTAGCTTCTAGTCCCTCAGAGTAACTTATGGCAAAGCACTTGCTGAGTGCTACAATTAACTACCTAACATTGCTCTTTACGTGTTCCTCTTTCATCTAACATGCACATCTCCACAATTACAAATGTCATGGAAAAACTAATGGCTGTGCATGTGAGTATATACATGTAGGATGGCGCCTGTTCTACCCTCTTGAAATGACATGGATGATACTTGATGTGTGTTGGGGAAAGAAAGAGATAACACTACCCAAGCTAAAAGCCAAGGGGCAAAGTTTTTCTGCCCCTGACTGGATATTCTGGGAAAGCAGACATGAGACCCAAGGGCAAAGGCTCATAGAAAAAAAATATATATATTTGTGATGCCCAAATATAGGCACGCTTTAAAAGTCTTTGGAGGGAGTGTTAGTTTTTTCAAAGAAAAGATAAAAGTTTGAGTAGATAACATGTATAACCCGTTTAATAGCTCCCACATGAGGATGCATGTGGTTAGGGGTTACTTAGTCAAGTAGACCTGGGTAGTGAGTTGCTAGGAAATGCAGCAAACTGGCCTCTGCATGGAATGGAGAGCCATCGTTGGTAATGCTTATGGATTTCAATGGTGGACATCTACAAGTTGTCTACATGCTATGTGGAGATACAAATCACACAACTGATTTGTATGAACCACAACAAGCATCTGGCATCACCCTGGGCCTGGGTACTTCTTATCATTTCTTCCCAGACACTTCACAAATGAACAAGCTACAGGACACTACTCCTGGAAGATTCCAGCTGGCACTGTGAAAGGGCCCTGGGGTAGACTTCTAGGAGCAGCTGTTCACAGACCTGGGAGAGTCAATGAACACATGGGCCTCCTGTTTCTCCTCCAGCCATGGCTGGGGTCAGGTCTTCTTAGCAGCAGTATGCCCTGGAACTGGTACAACCTGACAACTTAGGGAGAGCAGATAGAACTGGGGACCTCCGTAGGCAGATGGCACCTGACAGTGCTGAGCTCAACCTGCCTTCACCTTGGCTAGGATGCCAAGGATCCGGGCTCCTGAGGACCGTCTTGCCCCAGGTACTCCCCAACTTTCATCGACTCTGCTGTAAGGCTGCCAGCCTAGCTGGGAGACCTGACTGCCAAGCCGAGTGTCTTTCCTCTCAGCACCAGCAGGAGCAGCAGAAAGCAGAAATCTCTGCCTCAGTCACCCCTGACTGCCGCTTTCCCTGGTGAAGGCATGAAGGAGGAACCACAGAGTCAGAGCTCATAGGAGATTAAACCGCGCCCCACCCCACTGCCACTTCAGCAGAGTAGTTCCCTCCTTTGTCCCATGTGCCTCAATGTCCAAAGCCCACTATTCGGGTATGGATTTTGCAATGGGGAAACATTCACTAAGGATCCCAGAAGGGAGAGAAGTAGAAGCCCAGGGTGATCACCGAACTGATGGAGAGGGTGAAGCATGCTTTAGTGCTAGGTATTTGTGTTAAATGCTAAAACTCTGGTCACTAACAACCTACTGAAGTGTTCACTTATTTTCCTATTGTTTTAGATTTGATTTCATATATGACACTTCTGCATATTTAAAGGACACAGGGAGCATTTCAGTACATGAGCACTATTTGGAAATATTTAAGTATGTGTTCTCAGCCATAGTCACCTTACTGTGCCTTAGACCACGGGAATAGCCCGGTTGACAGCTTCAGCCCTGTCCTGTTACTTGCCCTCTCTCCAACCTTACCTCAAACTCTCCTCGGGCTCTGTAACCACTACTAGGCTCTCTAATTCGGTGAGGCCCATTTTCTAGAGATTTTACAGCACGTCTCATGTGGAAGAGCTGTCACCAACAATATAGAAAAAACACTTTCCTTGTTACCCATGGAGAAACCTAGTAGAAAGAGAAGGAATACAGACATTGTGGTCAGAATGTCTGGAAATGACAGCCTTTAGAGCAGGACCACGGCATGACAGCCAGGTCCCTGGTATTCACTGTCTGGGGATGAATGGACATTTTCACATGGCTACATAGCAAGGTATGCATTCATCAATCTCCCCGTTCCATATTAGGAACTTAGACTCAAAGAAACAGGTTAATTCATCCAAGGACACACAACTAGTATGTTACAACAAAGCCCATACTCCCCCTTGTTGACAGTAGTTAAAAAAAAGCTGACTGGAAAGAATTCAGAAGGTGTACAGTCATACATGGTATGGAAGAAGTTCTACAGTGGCAAGCTATCTATTGGGTCTTTTTATCTCAAGGAAATTCTGGTTTAACAACAACAACAACAACAATGCAGGGCTCATTTTATCAGAATCCGATCTTCCATCTAGCTCCTATGAGGCATCACCTTTGAATCTAGGCATCTCTTCCTCCCTGAGCTCAGTTTTCACTTCTGCCTACAGGTCATGGCCTCTCTCTAGCCTTCTCATGGTACTCACAGAGGTCTACTGAGTTAACTGTAAAGCTACCTATACCTCACAAAGGCCATGTGATATGGATCAGCCTAAGCGAAACAACCAGCCTGGTACCTTGAGTCTCAACCTATAACATTGTTGTACTAAGAATTCATTGTCTCAGCTATAATAGTGTTAGGGAGGGAGGGTTTCTTCATTATGCAACATTCATGGCCCTGTGTGCCAAATGACAGTGTTTTTACACAACAATAAAGAAGGTAGGAGGGAATCAAGAAAAGAGGGAAGGATTGGAGGGAGGAAAGAGGGAAGAAGGGAGCAAGGAATGGAGGAAGGAAAGAAAGAAGGAAGGAAGGGAGGGAGGGAGGGAGGGACAGAAGGAGAGAGGGAAGGAGGGAGGAAGACAAAACCTTTTCAAGTGCTGAGAAGGCCATTACCCCTCTCACTGAGAACCTTTATAGAATGAAATCCATGAATTTGTTCAGGTTTTTTACTCTTTGTCAAGACTGCCTCTCTTCCTAGAGCCTTTGTAGAGACTCCAGGAGCAGAGCCAGAACTTGGATTTGAGATAGGAAAGTCTAACGGTTGCAGGGCTGGGTTTGAGCATCCTGAGTTTCAATTCAGCTCTCATTCACACCATTCTGTGTCCTGGGGCGCAGTTCCAACACTCTACAGCCCTAACCCTAACCTCTGAGTCATCACCTCTAAAACGAGAATAACGTGGAACCTCAAGAGGTTTTCAATACTAAGTCCAGTGTCTAAGCCCTTGAGGTTAGACTTAGGAATCCTTAGTTTTCACAGTATGATAATGTCCCTGTTTGTGTTATTCTTGCATACTCACAGCTAAAATCATGGAGTAAATTATTTACACACTTACTTGTTTGTTATGAGACCCTCTCAGATTACTGGGTTAATGTGGGGAGAAAGGACATGGGCAACCTTTTTTACCACTTCAAGTTTAGATAGGCTCTAGGCACTAGTAAACAGTTCAGTTGGCTGAAGAAACGTAACCATTTCTTTGTTTTTGTTTTCCAGAGCCCTATGCATTTGATAGCAAAGTAAATATAGAGGCCATTTCCCCTGACCTGTGAAGATTTTACAATGGAGATTTCAGCCATCACAGAGCCCTACTACAACATAGTCACCAAGAATGACTTCTTTCCTGGAATCTTATGTCTGAGCATGGACGTGCATGCATTTGGAATCACAGTGCTGACCCCACTGTACTCGTTAGTGTTCGTCGTTGGAGTGGCAGGCAATGTCCTAGTGGTCCTGGTGCTCCTGAAGCACAGGAGGCTTCGAAGCATGACCAGCATCTACCTGTTCAACCTGGCCATCTCCGATCTGGTCTTCCTCTTCACATTACCTTTCTGGATTGACTATATAATGAAAGGAGACTGGACTTTTGGTGATGCTATGTGTAAGTTCCTCTCTGGGTTTTATTACCTGGGCTTATACAGTTACATGTTTTTCATCACCCTCCTTACAATTGATAGGTACCTAGCCGTTGTTCATGTTGTGTTTGCCCTGCGGGCCCGAACTGTCACCTTTGGCATCATCACCAGTATCATAACCTGGGTCCTGGCCACCTTGGCTTCCATTCCTTGTCTGTATTTTTTCAAGTCCCAGTTGGAATTCACTTACCATACCTGCAGAGCAGCTTTGCCCAAAAAGAGTCTGAAACATTTTTTGAGGTTCCAGGCTCTAACGATGAACCTCCTTGGACTAATTTTACCTCTCTTGGCCATGATCTTCTGTTACACAAGGATCATCAATGTTCTACACCGAAGACCCAATAAGAAGAAGGCCAAAGCTATGCGTCTAATTTTTGTTATTACACTTCTCTTCTTCCTCCTCTGGACCCCCTACTATCTGGCTGCATTTGCTTCTGCTTTTGAAGATTTCCTATTTATCAGTGGGTGTGAGAGAAGCCAACAGTTGGACCTGGCCTTGATGGTAACTGAGGCAATTGCCTACACCCACTGCTGTGTCAACCCAGTCATTTATGTCTTTGTGGGTGAGCGGTTCCGGAAGTACCTCAGGCAGCTGTTTCACAGGCATACTGTTATACCGCTGGCAAAATGGCTGCCCTTCTTCTCTGTGGACCGAACACAGAGGGCCAATGTCATGCCTCCATCCACAGGGGAAAATGAGATCTCTGCTGGCTTCTAATTCAGATCTCTGAATGCCAATAAAGATAGATCCAGGAGAGAGTGAAAAGACAGTGTGACTCTCCAAAACAGATACTGTCTGAGGTTTCATTGCTTTGTAGATCAGCTGGACTTTGCAGGTAGCTTAGCTATAAGTCAACTCTTTAATGTTTGCCAAGTCAACTTGTCAGAAAGAAGATGTATGAACACGTTATGACATTGCAAAGACAGGGTCAACAGGTTCCAGGGAAGGGCTTAGGCTCAACAAGAGGTAGGAGCTATGGCCATTAGGATTGTCAAATAAAGCGAACCCTACTTCCAATGATTGCTGAACCAGTTAAGTCTACAACTGTGTGTATTCTGCACCTGGAAGTCAATGGCAGTTCACAGATACCTCCTTCACTGTACCCCCACTGCAGGGCCTGAACTCTTCAAAACCTTGGAATTCAAGGTCACATTTGATATCTATTGAGACACTGCTTTATCATTTTTTCTAGAAGAGTCATTAGACAGAATTTTATATTTGTTAAAACCAAAGACTTATGGAAAGTAAATAGGGAAGGACATTTACCTTCCCTATTTATGTTCTTCTCCCTAAGGGAAGAAGCATCTTGGTATATAATGTAGCAAAATATTATTATAAGTACCGTATATTAATCTTTATGTTACCCTTTCTAGTCCTGAAGGTCCTATATATCTAGTCTAGAAAAATGTTTCCTAGTGCTCTGTCTTTGCTTAACAGCATGAAGCACTCTGGAATTATTTTTACCATGCTTGATCTTGAAACTCAGTTCACCCAGTGGTTCCATTTTAATGGCTGCCACCTCACTTAGTTTGATAACTCCATTTACCACTCTTATCTCATGATGGAAAAAAGAATTTTATTTTGTAATGTTTTATTCATCACAAACAACTTCTATCAACTTATTATTTCATTGATCTTACTCTATGTTGAATAGAAATCCCTAAATTTGGGGGGGTGCTTATTTTGTTGTTTTGGGGGTTTTGGAGTGGGGGTCATTTTTGTTTGATTGGTTTGTCGATTAGTTTGGGTTTTCAAGACAGGGTTTCTCTAGATAGCCTCGGCTGTCCTGAAACATGCTCAGGTGACCATGAGTTCACTGGCTTTGAACTCTTAGAGATCCATCTGCCTCTGCCTCTCCAGTGTTGGGATTAAAGGAGTGTACCACCACTGCCCGGCTAGAAATCCCTAATTTTGATGTAATAAATTTCATCTTTTAAAAAAGTGTTTTGCTTCTGCTATTTAAATATTGTTTAAGATTTTTGTGGGCCCATCGTTTCTAATTTGTCTTATATTTTCTTCTATTACTACAATATTTCTTTTCTTTTTAGATGTTTAATCTGACATGTAACTGTGACATGATACTCGGCTTCTCAGAAATTAATCATTCCAATCTTTGAAGTGTAGATGATAGCGGCATTTGTCTCATGGGGTTGTCATGGAGTATAGTGTCATGTAAATGACTATATAATTAAAATAAAAATACTTAGTTATAATATTTTGTAAGTCATGGAGTATCTGAAGATACAGCAAAAAAAAAAAAAAAAAAAAACATAGATGATTCTGATAATTGAAGGTTCAGAAATACCAACCAGAAAAAAAATGAATTTTTACTTTTTCATAATTAGAAGGCAGTGTCAGCAAGAACATTAAAAAGTTCTGACGTAGGCTGATTTTGTTTCTTCTCTGTAGAGTTTCATGTAGTGCACAGATATGGTCTGCAACTGACATTCTCTAAAGTTGCCCAATATTTGTTTTTAGTCTTTTCGCTTCCCATTCTCACTTTTAGAGTAAGAGCTAGCTATCTAAAAAGAGTTGGTAGACTGTTGTTCTGTGCCACATCCGGATGCTGTCTTCCTAAAAGCATTGTTCCAGATGCTCCCTGTCCCCTGCCATACCTACATAATAGGGAACCCATCAAGCATCACCTTCAGTAGAATGACACACCAGCTGCCTTGCCCACCTGGAGCAGCTTGGTCCCTCCATTTCCATGAGCAACTTCTCCTTGTGTATTAGTGAGTTTTATCATCACTATGACAGAATACTGTCCCCCCTCCCCAAAAAAAAGAAACTTAAGAAAGGAAGGTTGCATTTGGTCCACAGTTTAAATTCATAGTCCTTCGTAATAAGTGTGTGAGTTGGATGGTCACAATGCATCCAAATAAGAAGCAAATAAAAACCGCAGCCCATGGAATAGTTCAACCCATATTCAGGATGGGCTTTCCCACCTCAGGTAAACCTCTTTGGAAATGACCTAAACATGTACAGAACTTTGTATTTAAGGTGACTCTAAATCTCATCAGGGTGGAAAGATTAGACAGCACAAATCTACCCCATATCAAACTGACAACATTGGGCCCTAGAGTCTCCTATTCAACTCATAATACACAGGGTACTTCCCATACCCAGAAGTCTCCAGCATCTTAACAAATACAAAATTGTTCAAAACTGTAAATGCAGAGTCTGTTATATGCCCCAGTCTACCTCTTACCTGGAAGCCTCTGTAAAATAAAAAAAGTGAGTTATAACTCTTGTATTAAAAAAAAACACCACCTTTATTACATATAGACATACAATTTATATATTAATTTATACTATAATACGCAGGTGGAGTTTTTTTGTTTTGTTTTTTGGTCAGGACTGCTGTCTCCTCAATAAGTACACAGAGACATCATTAATTATAAATGCTCGGCTGAAGACTGACAGCTGGGAAACCAGCATAGGACCAATCCAGACCCTATGAACATAGGTCTCAGTTAGGAGGCCTGGGCAGTCTATGGGACCTCAGACAGTGTAACCAGGATGTATCCCTGTGCACAAAAGGATTTTGGGAACACATTCCCCATGGAGGATTACTCCCTTTGCCTAGAGACATGAGGGAGGGCATAGACCCTACCCCAAACAACTTGACAGATTTTGATGATCCCTCCTGGAAGGCCTCACCCTTCCCGGGGAGTGTATGAGGAATGGGATAGGGGTGGGGGTGATGGGGACATGGGAGGATGGGAAAGAGAAGGAACTGGGATTGGTATGTAAAATAAGAATAAAAAATTTGAAAATTAAATGTTCAGCCAATAGCCTTGGCTTGTTACTAACTAGCTCTTACTACTTAAATTAACCCATATTTCTTATCTACGCTCTACTACGTGGTGGTGCCTTGCTTCAGCATGGCATTATTATCTTGCCTCTCTGCATTTCTGTGCACTTTCCTGTGCTCTCTTTTTGTCCACGAGTCCTGCCTAATTTTTTCCTGCCTAGCCATTGGCCAGTCAGCTCTTTATTAAACCAATGTGAGTAACAAATATTCAGAGTGCACAAAAATGTTGTTCCACAGCAATAATGGAAAGGCTTGATATGGTTTTAAGTAGAATAAAATGGGGAGGGGAGAATTTTGGATTGTAAAATCATTCCCACAAACATGCTTTTTAATCGCTTTTTCGAAATTGATTGCTGCATTGTCCAATATACACCAGCCCAAAGTAAGCATTCCAGTTCCACAAGTTAGGAAGGGAAGAATAAGCAGAGAAGACCAGACCAAAGCAAGATGGAAATCCAAAAGGGAAAACACTAGACACTGCAGCTCCACATCTGGGACCTGAAACACATGATGGCATCATCTGATCTCCAACAGTCTTGGGAAGGCCCAGTCCTATAACTCCCCGTCTGCTTCGACTCTACGCCTATGGTTTTACTCAGTGCACATGCCACAGCTGTGACATTACCTCCTTCATAAGGTCTGCACTGAAACTCAGATTTGACTTTCACAGTTTCATGTACAAGGACTTCTTAAGGCCTCCTTTCAGGAAATCTGACCCTTTCATATATTACCTGGACTCATAAGCTTATATTCTCTCTGGAAACTGATCTACAAGTCACTTTTCAGAATTACAAGGAGCCAGGCACACACAGACCCTGTTTGCTTCTTTGCGGATGAACTGAATGATGACAATTTTATAGATAGAAATCTGAACCATGAAGATAAGGCAGGCTAGGAACACAAGGAAATCCAAGGGAATGTGGGAAGGAAAAGGGCTAAGATTCGAGAAAATCTTATAAACATTATCTTGAACTATGGTTACAGCCCAAATGTGCCCTAAGTTCCTCGTGCTCTATGCATAGCAAGAATTTATTTGATGACATTTTATCTGTGCTTTACCTTGTCAGCCTATAAAACTACACTTTAGAAACCACCTTGAGATTTCATTTACTAAAGGAAAGTTCCTGAGCTGGTGAGATAGTTTCATGGGTAAAAGCACTTGCTACACAAACTTGAGTTAGATTCCAGAACTCATGGCAGAAGGATAGAACAAACTCCAGGAAGTTATTCTTACACATGCACACCATTCCCACACGAACACAAAATATAAATATACACTAAATAATAATTTTTAAAAGTTTATAAGGATAAAGTTTCTTAGATAAGACTAAGTATACTGAAACATTTTTTGCATAATATTTTACATCCTCTAAGAAATGTAACTATAAAAGCCACCCCAATCCTATAGACAGCTATTGCCAAAATACTTGGCAGGGCTGAGGGTATAGCTCAGTTGAGTACTTCCCTAGTATACACAAAGCCTTAGGTATGATCCCTAGCACCACATAACATGGCATAGTATCACATGCCTATAATCCCAGAACTCAGGAGGCAGAAGCAGGAAGATAAGGAATTCAAAATCAACCTAAGCTGTATAAGAATATATCTCAAAAAATAAGATTGAAATGGGTCCCTGGGTAAAATGCTTGTTACAGAAGCCTGAGGACCCAAGTTCTGACTCCTCAGAACCCATATAAGTTCCTAGGAGGTAATATGCACCTATAATCCTTGTTCTCCTACAGAAGGACAGGAAGCACAGAATACAGAATCTCTGCAAGCTTCTGAGTTAGTTACCTTGGTGTATCCAACAGTGAACCACAAAGAGACACTCTCTCAAGCAAGGTGTAAGTCAAGGACCGACACTCGAAATTTTCTCCTGACACACATGCCACAGCATGATCATAGCCACCCTCACACACATGCCTGCACATGTGCATGTGTGCTTAAACATGTGCATGCACACAAATAAATAAACACAGAGAGATTAAAAAGCTAATACTATCACACGTTCCACAGTGATTGCCGATTTACTGAGCGTATGGAACATACCTGTAATCTCATAATCCCAAAAATTGGGAGGACCAGGCATGAATATCATGAGTGCGGAACTTGTCTGAACTATATAACAAACCTTGTCTCAAAATGTTTCTTTAAAAAACCTTATTCTCCTCTTGGGCAGCTATACCCACTCTAGAGCATGTCCTATT